ATGAGACAAAGTATATGTGAACTGCTGTACGAAAAGTGAATTTACTCTGTAAATCTTCACCCAAATCCTAATAAAAAAGAAAAAAAAAAAAAAAGAATCTAATTCCTGCACCAACTTATAAGAACAAAACTCTCCCTTCTCATTTTAGATTATTTATCAAGAACCAGCTCTTCCAGGCATTTATAGAAATGTCTGAACTTCCTCTCAAACACACTGATGCTACTCTTCGTTTACTTTTGAAGCTTCTCACATACACAGTGCTTTCCTGAGACAGAATCAAGACTTCATGACTCTTGAAAAATAACCCCAGCTAAAGAAAGAGCAATAATTCAGAGTTAATTATGAGAGAAAATGAAAAGGCTGGTCAATCACATACGATAGTTTCATGATTTGGAAATTCCTACTCATCTACAGGAAAAACAGTAAAATGTGTATCAAGGAGACACAAAGAAGTCATGAAGCTTAAGAATTATTTAAATTTAGGCTATAAAAGTAAATGTTAAGGAAACAACAAATGACACCATCATCAACTGCCAACAAGTGCTAGCTATGAGAAATCAAGCTGTTTTCAGCATCTAGAGACTTGCCTATTAGAAAAGAAAAGGTGAATATGAAAGGTGTTTGTGATTATGTGTTTTGATTCTCTTCTTCTAGCTTGTGTTGTTTTTGTTTTCTGTAAATAAAGCTCTCTACAAAAAATAATCCAGTTCACAAAGCCTTTTCTGTCTTGAAAATCTCAGAACAGAGTTGAGTGTAGTTTTTAAAATCTTGCACCATTCAGATAAAATTTAGCTGAGGCTTACCCTTGGAAAAGGAATGCCTGAAGATAAAAATAGACAAGCACCAGTTTTAGAGACTGATATCCAAGACAATGTCAATGCACCTGAAACTCACCAGACACCTATTGTCACGCCTTCTTCTGGCTGGAGGTAATAATTACAGGTATGATTCAAACCTTGATCCTGAGGCTTCCTCAAGTCAATGAAGTAGGGAACTCTCACTGTAGAAGACAAAGACATGAAGATCAAGATTAGAGGGAGTGGATGGACAAGACACACACCTACACACACAGAAGAGGTGAAGCTTTCAGAAAGTCCCCAGTTCTTTTCCAACACAACATTGCCAGACATACTGGGGCCTCTAATCTCTACTTGAACACCGAGGTCATCAACATATTTGCAGTACAGGCAAGGCCTGAGCACTCTCAAGTTATTCAAAGGGTGAGAAGATGCAGATGAGGAAAGGAAATATCGTTGAGGGCTGTCTGGGTGATAAAATGCATAGGGGAGACCAGCAGGTCTGCCAAGTCACTCAGGAAAGCTAGAACTGAAGGCTGGAACTAGAGTGACAGATGTCTGAGATGTTCTGGAGCTGAAAACAGAATTTGATGACCAACTGATGTAGGTGGTAAACAAGTTAAAGGGGATTCTGAAGTCACTTAGAAAGGCTGGTGGAGAGTGAGGTGTGGGTACAGGAAATGGATGAATCCACAGAGCTGAGAGAAAGCATGCAGTTTGATATAGCAGAGTCCAAACGTTAGCAGAGAATCTATCAACAGAGCTCCAGTTGAGTAAAATGTGGTGCATCCACACAAAAAAAAGCACAGGGCACAAGAGTCTGATATGTATCTACTGGTCTGGGATAGAGTTCGTTATAGATAGTTAGATAGAGGAGCAAGTGCCGAGTAATGAGGTCACTGTGTGTACTATACTATAACAGTTAAGGTTGTGTGTCAACTTGGTTGATCAGTGATTCTAAGTGGTTTAGTAGTTATGATGTAATCATCACCCTGATGAGATCTGACATAATGTAATGACCTCCACAATGACATGTGCTATAAGCAGCCAATCAGTTGAAAGGGTGTTTTCTCAAGGGTGTGGCCTGCTTCAAAGATATATGGATATCCTGCTAAAGTTCTCTGACTTTTAGCTTGATTTAGATACTTCATCTGGCATATCATCATCTTATGTTTTTGGACATAAACCAGTAGCCTATTGTATTGACTGCCTTTTTTTTTTTTTTTTT